GGGGGGGGGGGGCATAAAGGGACAGCGCAGCTGTCACTGCCCCGTGAGCAGGTGCTCCTGGGTGCGCTCGGGTTGGCCTCGTGCGTCCCTCGGCACGGGGGTACTTAGGGGTGTCCCCGAGCGTGGCTGCTCCCCCCCTCCATAACACTGTTCCCCCCCGTGTGCCCCCCAGGTGAGCCGCTGTCCCCCCGCCATGTCGCGCCGCAGCCAGCGCCTCGTCACCTCGCGCCTCTATCCTGAGGATGAGGACGGCACCAGCTCCCTGCTGGGCGGCCCGCAGCTGCCCTTCAAGGAGAGCACCGCCAGGTTCGGGGGTACCGCAGGGACGTGGGAGGGGGGGGCGGGAAGGGGGCTGGTTCAGGCTTTTGGCACCCAGCAGCTTTGGGCCCGATGGCGGGAGGGAGGGAAGCGCTGCGAGCGCCGTGCCGGAAAACCGCAGCGGTGTAAGCGGAAGCGGGGCCGGGGGCTCCCCACCTTTCGGGGTTTCGCAAAGCAGCGGTTGCGCCGTGCCGAGCATCCTCCCAGCCCTGCAGCGCTCCCGGTGCCGGCATCGTAGCCTTGCCTCCGCTATGTGACGCCGATCGGCTGGTTCTCATCCCCGCAGGACGGCGGCGAGGAGGAAATCAAGCGGCACCAAGCGGCTGTCGCCCGGCCCCAGCACTCAGACCTCCTATTACAGCGAGTCCTTGGTGAGCGAGTCCTACCTGGGGGGCAGCCGGGGGCTGGCCGCGCTGGATGATGCTCTGGATGGCAGCACTTACTGGGGTGAGCCTGTCCTCCTGTGATGTCTGTCACCTCAACCCTTGGGGCATCCCAGTTGTTTCAGAGTGGCTGTTTTCTGAGCTGTTTCTATGGGATTTTTTGGGGTGGGTAAGCAGGCAGGGAGCTCTCCACCAGGAGGAGAAGGGATACAGGGGACACGGAGTCCAGCAAAGTCAACGGGCTGCTGGAGAGCCGAACTTATGACACCTACGCCTCCTCCTCGGGGTACTCCTCAGAAGACGACTATGCAGGTAGGAATGTGGTGGTGGGATGCTGGGGATCACAGAGTCCCAGCCCCTATATCAAACCCAGGGATGTGGGTTCCATTCCAACTCTTGTTGCCTCTCCTCATGTAGAATCCCAGAATCATTAAGGTTGGGGACCTTAATGGGGTCCCCATAAGGGGGACGCTTCTAGGATTATCTAGTCAACCATCAGCCCATCCCCACCATGCCCACGTCCCTCAGTGCCACATCCACACGGTTCTGGAACACCTGCAGGGATGGTGACTGCACCACCTCCATGGGCAGCCTGTGCCACTGCAGCACCACTCCTTCTGAGAATAATTTTTTCCTTATATCTAACCTGAACCTCCCAAGGCACAACTCAAAACTGTTACCTCTTGTCCCTATCTCCCTCCAGGACAGCTCTACTCTGCCCACAGCAGCTCGGGGTCAGGGCTGAGGACAGCCGCCTCCAAGGTTGGCTCCTTCCTGTGGCGGGTGTTCACTGCACCAGGTGAGTGAGGGCCTGAGGGGGAAGGGGTTTTTCTCCTGTGCACACTTGTCCCGTGCCTGTGTGGAGGTTTGTTGTCCTACAGGGCTGCTTTACTCTCATGCCACCTTGCTGTTGACCATGTAGCAGTTGGTTTCTTCCACATCTTGCAAATCTGAGGCAGGGAGGGAAGGGGATGCTGCATACATGGATTGTCTTCCTCCAGAGAGCAGCCCTGGAGGCAGAGGGGATGTCTTGGGGTTCCTCTGATCCTGCTTGTCCTCCCCCAGCCCGATTTGTGGGATGGCTATTGTCCTGCATAGCCACTGCCTGGCACCATGTCACTGGAAGGGCTCCCCAGCTACAGCGCGTCCCCCTGTCCAGGTGAGTGGGATCCCAGCCCCAGAAGTATCCCACCACTGCAGGACACAGCCCGTAGCCCTCTTTCTTCCCCACTCTGCAGGCGCTACCCACGGCTGAAGAAGTCCCTGTGGTTGCTGCTGCTCCTCTTGCTCCTTGCTGCAGTTGCTTATGGTAAGCCCACTGTCCCCTCCTCCCACCATGATATGAGGCTGGAGAGCCATTGTCCCCGTGCTGGGATGGCAGTGAGCTCAGTGCTTGTGGCTCCTGTCCCCCATCACCATTTGACTGTTGAACCATCTCATCCCCTGCGTGCCCAGGAGCGTGGTACCTGTACCCATATGGCCTGTCAGCACGCAGCCTCCCCATCTTCTCATGGTGGGGAGCGGGACGCTTCTCCTCCTCAGATGTGCCCGGGGCACGGGACATGACTGCACTGGACCAGGTACAAACTGGTTGCCTTTGGGGCGGAATGGCTGGGGCCAGTCACCCAAGGAAGCTCTGTTCCCATGGGTGCAGCCCCTAAAGTTTGGTACATCCCAGAGATGGAGGGAGGGGAAGCAGTAATGGGGCACAGCCACTCATGTAGACCCGCAAGGCGCCCGGGGGCTGCATGGCATTCTCCTTCCCATCACAGGGGCTGCGAGGAGAGCAGCAGCTACTGGCCCGTTTCCAGGCCCTGGAGAAGCGTTTTGAGGCACTGGAGGCTGCGGTGTCACGCTGGGAGCTGGGGGTGGCCAGGGGTGAACCCCCACCGACAGGAGATGTGCTGGGCCTGTTGGAGGGGCTGTTAGACCGCCGCCAGGCCGGCATGGAGGAGCGGCTGCGCAGTGACATGACTGAACACCTCCAGGTGAGGGGAGCAGGGTGGTGCAGGCATGGGGATGTGATGGGATGGGTTGTGATGTCCCCATCTCATCCTTGTCCTGCAGGGTGAGCTGGACGCCCTGCGGACGCAGCTGCAGGCTGATGTGGATAAACGTCTGGGGAAGATGGCGCAGGCCTCGCAGGTGAGTGATGTGCACCCTGTGGGGGTCCTTGGGGCTGGTGGGCAGCATTCATGTGGACTCTTGTGCCTTTGTGCTGGCAGGAGATGGAGGCCCGTCTGCAGGAGCTGAATGCAGAGTGGCAGAGGTATTGTTGCTCAGTGTGGGGAGAAACCCCACTGTTTAGGGTGGGGTAGATCTCAGCCTGGCATTTTGGGGCATTTGGTGGTGCTTGGTGGCATTTCTCTCATTGTGCTGGTGGCACAGGTCTGTGCAGGAG